AATTTCTAAATTTCTTCATAAAAATATGTAAATACTTATTTCTAGCTTTTTAAAATTATTTTTCCTTCATATTCTGTAAGGACTTAAAGTTCAACATATCAATATTTGATGGAAAATACCTGTTCCATGATATACCAAAGATGTTTGATATTTAGACAGTTAGGGTAAACCAAACTGCATATATTGCAGGTTAATAATAAGCTTCTCTTCTGGAGGGTTAACAACCTAACTTAGCAGATAAAAATTGGAGAAAAGGAAGGGTTGCAAGGTCAGCCAACATTTTGGCCCTAGCCTTTCAAGGTCAGTGAAGACTTGGAACATAGGAGAACCTGTACTGTAACATCAGGTAACTCAGTTGTGCTCCAAATTTTCTGATCAAGGAGATTATGGAGCCACAAAGGAATGTGATCGATGATGTATAGTGTGCCTAAGGAGAGTCACATGGAAAGAAAAAGTAATTCTCTCTCAGGCTTTCACAGAGAGCAAAGTGGTCAAGCAATGGCCGTGACTCATCCTTATGGCTGACACTGACAAAGGATCTACAAAGTGTGGTACAGGGCTACAGGATAAATTCTGAGGGTACTTGACTGACCTGATCAGATACAAAAGTTACATTTCTTGTTATATAGGTCTTGCTTTATCTTGGTCTTAACCATCCAGCAGAAAAGTATACAAATGAGGTATATAAAGTAAAGCCATATTAATACAATGAGCTGTAAAGGGCTCAAGTCAATAACTTCTGAGGATAACCCACTAATATTATAGACTGCTAGACAGTGTTGGATTGTTTAACTGAATTCAAACACCCATAGTATTTAGATGCCAATAGAATATCCACCTCTGACAGGACTAAACAAAAAAAAGGGGATACAAAGGGAAGATCATTTTGTATTTATATATACAAAATAGGATAGATATACAGCTCTTTTGCTTAATTCAATGAAAAGAAAGAGGTGTACTAATAGTGTTGGGACAGGATATCCTGTCTGCTTCTTGTACTATGGATAACCACTAAGAAGATAACAATATACAATGTATTAAT